ATTATCAAGACAATTATGTGATTATCAAGACTCTAACCAACTGGAATCTTCCTTGATTTTAGGAGCCATCCTGATGTACATAAATTCAGTGTGGAGACAGTGCAGTGGTATCCTTTTGACACTGGCATTTTTACATCCAGCTCATTTGATAAAACCTTGAAAATATGGGATACAAATAATTTACAAGTAAGAGAATTTCTCCAGCTTTCAGGCTTCTTTGTGTAGACGTTTTTCATTCTGCATCTGCAGTTCCCCCAGAGCTAAACAGGACGAAGCATCCAGAAGGCTGAGAGTCAGTCTACTGTCAGAAAGAACTGTGGGTGCAGCAGAGAGTGGCATGGTTCTGACATTCACGCATACCTTGGTGTGTACCTGTCTGTTTCTGAAGATATGAATATCTAGACTGTACAAGACCATGGAACCCTTGGGACAATTCCTTTCTGCTTTTGCTGTTAACAAGAATACAGCTAATTGAATTTATGCTGTGTAAAGTTGTCCACAAAGGACTGGTCTGAAGTTCCTTATTGGGGATGGTTGAATATAATGGTAGTGTATGGCAGAATTACTTATTTTTAGTAGTAACTTTTTTTTAGTAACCAAGGCCTAAATACTGCTTTTGAAGGACTGGTGATCTTGGCTCTCAGTGTCAGTAGGTCCAATATTCTGCTGTTGTTGTTTCTATAGACACACTTCTAAAAATTGATGGAGAATGAGATAAACCATTAAGGAACTGCTAACCAGCATAGCTGGCTTTATATATAGATTCTGTAGGACTTTAGGTTGCTTTGACTTGTTAGTCCTTGCATCCAGTTGTTGAACTATGAATTCTAGACTGCAGTTTATCCTATTTGCAGTATGCATGTATTAACGGATTTACCATTTGAATGTTGTTTCAAGCATAGTGAAGGATTTTTTTAAAAAAGAGATCTGCCATCCAAGTTACACAGTAGGGAATAAATTGAGTTTTTTTGTTTTTTTTTTGTGAGATGTGAAGCTGTGTTTGCAGTTACTAAACCTTCTTGTAAATGCAAATGCAGCTCAGTTCACTTTCCAGGTAGTTCTGTGACCAACACTTAAGACGGTCTTCATATGAGGGTTATTGGTTGACCTGTTCTGCCACCAAATGATGTAATTGACAACACAGATAACATTGTTTTAAGAGTTTGTTTTACATATGCAGTATTTTAGAATGAAACAACAAAAGCAATTGTACCTGAATGTAATTGTACTTATTATTAAAGCTAGTCGTACATTTCAATGATGTTTAACTCTCGCAAGGGAGACAATAATTTTGTATGGTTGGTTGTGTTCTTTTTGAGGAATTGAAGTAAGTATACGATGTTTGTGAATGGCAAGGCACTTGTAGTCTAAGTGCCTCTTTACTGTTCACTTGTATCTCCATATTGTAACCTTCTTGTTTGTGTTTTTTGTAGTTATTAAATTTCCATTCATGCTTCTGATTAGCCACTTTTCTTGGTTTTTCTTCTGGGTCATCTCTGAGCTCTATCATAGTTTTTTCAGTGCTGGAAACAGACTTATTTGATGGTGTGATCTGACTTCTAATGAGGAGTGTTATTGCTAGTATGTAAAAAGTAATATTTGTACAGTCTTATTTATAGCTATTCACTTGAAAAATACTTAATACTGAGGATTTACATTCTGATAACATGGTGCTGTGATTAAATTAATCTTTTTATTACCAGATTGCAGATGTATTTCACTTTGAAGGAGCAGTTTATAGCCATCATATGTGTGCAGTTGCTACAAATCATTGTTTAATAGCAGGTATGTATGTGCTTCTAAGAAATGCCCTATGTATTTTGAGGTTATAGTAAAAAACAAGTAACACTCAGTAGGGTTTTTTCCCTCCACTGTCCTATTTTTACATAATTGAGTCTTCGTAAGATGTAAGATTGGTAAAATAATATACTAGTTAGTTGGGTAATGTCAGTGAGAATATCACATTTGTTCTTCTGAAGTGATGCATCAATCAGATCTCCATCTAGATAAAAAATCCTGAGGTTACCTTTCATTACATAAGTTAGCATTTGAAGATTATTAGAGCCCAACATAGTAAATTGCATAAATAGACAGATGTGTGTATTGCTTACATGTACACAGTTTAACTGTATTTAGCAAAAAAAAAAACAAAACCCCAAACATTTAAAGAGAGAAATATTTTTAATTTTTAAGTTTCATAAGTACTATCCTGTTTACCCCCAGTTTTTAAATTATTATATGGTAAATTTACTTGGACTAAAAAGAATGCAAATCTGTTAATAGAATTCATTGCTCTAAGTGAACTGTTATGCAGCTAACATTTTTCTATTCCTTTTTCATTGCTAAGATTTTGTTGTTATCTCAAATCCTGGGATTTTTTTGTCAGCTGTCTTTGTTTTTTGTTACAGTTGGTACCAAAAACCCTGCAGTACAGCTCTGTGACTTGAAATCTGGATCCTGTTCTCACATTCTGCAGGGTACTTTCTAGTCTGAAACATAAATGTTAAACAATAACTACTTTGAGTAAAACAAGTCAGTAAAGAAACACTGTATACAATGTATTCTTTGTAAGTAACATGATTAATGTATTTATTGCCAGTTGTGAAAGTTACACGGTGGTAAGAGGTTCTTGTGGATGTTAGTCTAGTGCTAATAAGTAGGAAAATACAAATATTAATGAGTAGTCAGTACAGGTGTTTGAATATTTTCATTACCTAATTAATAGTGATTATTATTTATTACATGGTTAAGTGTAGGCACTGGTTTTGTGTATGTGGGGATTCAATATGGGGTGCTGCTTTTTGGAAACAAAACAATGAAACAAACCCCAAAACGACATCAAACCAAAAATCCTTTACTGTTTGTAACAAAATATCCTGTGAAGATGCTTGCATGGTTTTGTTTAGAAGTTTTGGTGTAACAGGAAAGGTACTACTTGCTATAGAAGGGTAGTATCTAATGCTTTGCACTTAACCGAATTCAGTTAACATAGGGGTTTATTGTTGCATAATCCATTGCTTTTTGCACTTCATGAGACTTTGCTCAAGGGAAGGCAATTAAAGGTAAATTGTCATGCTTCAAACCAGCAGGGCAAGAGCCAGATCTTTATCTAGAAACTGTAGAGAAGAGTTAGCTCAGACACAGCAATGTGCAAGTGCACAGTGTGCAATTTCTTCACTGGCCAGTTCAAAACTAAAAGTAGCTTTGGTGCTCTTGTGTGGTGGAAAGTTTAAGCCAGTAAGTTCTTCTGAACTGAATCAGCCACAGTGGGTATCTCAATGTTTGGTTTCTAGGACAGAGTATTAGAGAGTACAGACACAGAAGTATGTCTAGCGTTATAGAGAAGCAGTGTGGTTTCAGCAGGGCTTCTTGATTTTTGATGCAAGAGTTAGTGCTTTCCAGGCACAAGCTGGTTGTGTTTTTGTACACAACTGGTACAGTTAGTTCAAGAGCAGTATCAGAGAAACAAGTGGAAGCAGATTATGTCTTCCACTAAACATAATCTAATCACTTTTTACAGGACTTGAAGTGCTCAATAGTGTATTGAAAATAGGTATGAATGTTTTTCACATAGGCTACCTCCAGCAGCTGAAATTGAGCTAAATGCTTGGCTGTAGTTTATTTCGTGTATCCAAATAAATGCCTACCTGAGCCTTTAAAGTAAATCCTGTGGTACCTGTATTATAGAGATTTTTTTTTCTATTATCCTGGGCATCACAGCCTTTAGATTATTTCAGGTCATGGAAAACTAACCACAAGAAGATGTAACAGAAACAAGGTGGTTCACATAGCTCTATACTGCATTAGCAAAAATGTATTTGTGTGACTTAGTTTATTCTTGCGATGTGTTGCTATTATATGAAGTCTGATTGTAGTTTTTCCATTAGAACACCTTGCACTTCCTGTTGTTTGTATTTGTTTAAAATTTTTTAAACTTTCAAAGTTTTCAAGTGTATGTGTATATATTTATGTATTACTTGCCACTAAGCTGCACTGGGTATGACATTACTAAGAAGACGTTTATCTTAGTATCTTCATATTTCAGATCTAATTAGGGAAAAAATATCCCAAATTTAAGACAAGAGTATTTGAGGATAAGCTGAATAAAGTTTTAAGATTAAGAGCATAAGGTAAATATACTTTTTATTAAACATTTTGAAAGGATTTGAAGAAGTACAAAGTTCCTTCTGCATGTGGGAATTCCAGTGCTGACACAAAATTTAATAACATTACTTAGACTAAACTCAGTAGCTGTGACTGTGCTACAGTGTGTCTTGCATAACTAAAACGATCTTTGTTATTAAAAGTTACACATGTAATATTTCCTGTATCACTTTCAGCTAACTGCAAGAGGAAGAAAAAGAAAACCTCTAGCCCAAAAGAATGTATTTTTACAAAATACAAACTTGTATTGCAGCTTAGATTTTTGTTCTGGATTGGTGGATCCCATAGAATGAAGTATTTGCTTTTCTTCTTAGTTATTTACATAAAATGGTGTATATAAATATTTTACTAGAAAATAATTAAAATATTTCCATATTGAATTTTTAGGTCACAAACAAGAAGTACTGGCAGTGTCTTGGTCCCCACATGATGAAAATATTTTGGCAACAGCAAGGTAGAAATGTTGCTGGACTATTATATGCACTAAAAATGTCTGATGGTAAAATTTGATGTATTCCTTATGCATGTTTTTTACAATTCAAATGCGTTCTCAGAGTTAATCTTCATCATTTACTTTAATCTCTTCAGAGTTTTGTAGATCTTGCCTAGAAAAACTAAACTTGAAAAGCTATAAAGTGATGCTTATTATGTATGAAGATTGTACAGAATTTTGAAATATCTATTGCATTTAAAGGTGTTGGAAAATGATAGAGCATTATAGATGGTCTATGATAGAGCTATGATAGAGCAAACTTACTGTTTGTTAGGGCATATGTTGCTAATTTGTTTTATAACAAAGTAAACTATGTTTAGCTCAAAGTGCCATCCTGGTAAATCATACTCAGTTAGGTCAGAGAGCATAACATGGTTAGCTGGTGAGTTTCAAAGCTGCAGTAATTCAGTGAGTATTGATTTTATGCTGATATTCCTCAATCTCTTTTTTTCATTCCAGCCATTTTCAGCCTAAAAGGTCATCCTGGCTTTCCTATAACTTTTGCGTAGGTTAGCTTTTGACTATAATGTGACATTTCTCAGTTTCATGGTTGGCATGTTTTTTTCTTCTGAACTGCAAAGAATGGCCATTTTAAAAGTTAAAAGTGAAATTTGAATAAGTTTATATCAGAATTGCATACCCTTGGCTTCTGATGCCAAACTTCTGAAAGGCTCAGTGTAGTTAGGAAATTTTCTAACTTTGTGATTTGTTTGTTTTAACAAATGAAAAACTGTTTCCTTGTTTTTTCATTACTGAAATGGTTGCAGATTTTATGAGACATCAGTAAGTCATTATTTAATAAACAAAACATTTTGTTTCAAAGCCTAAACTATAAACTGCATCTACCTATGTTGTCATGTTGCCTTGTGATAATTGCATGTTAAACGTGTCTTATGGCTATATTACTTAATTCAGTGAGGTAGCTTGACTGCTAGTTCCTAATAACTCAGTTTTGCTATATGCTAAGACGGGCCAGAATTTGTAACACTGAAATAATGAAGAGGTAGTGAGGAAAAAATGACTGGTACTCCTAAAAAGAGAATCTGGAGTAATGTTGCGTATCAGGAGATGTAACCATTTTCCAAGGCAATTGTATCTTTGCTTGTGATCACTTCAAGGGTGGGAAGAAAGGCTTTGGGGTTTTATATGGCTTTTATATGAAGTGTGTATACTTCTCTGTATAAAGCTCGGCTCTTCTGTGTTTTTGGCAGGAGACTGGAAAGGTCAGAAGTGACGTGTTTTCCGGGTGTCTTTCACATGCTTCAGTTTCAGTCACTAGAGGAGATTATAAACTTGTTCTTGCTCATTAGAACTGACTAGAAAAGATTAGCCAATAGAAACTGCATTATCGAAAATGGACAGCTGTAGGCTTTTGTAATAAGGAAACTCTCTCTGTGCCTTTAAGAACATTTCAATGAACTACCTGTAGTTTGTTCAATTTGTGGTCAGCTTAAACCTCAGCAATATCTCTATTCATGATCTTAGAATATATGTTTGCAGTAAAGTTATGTGTTATCAGCATGTTCAGTTGGAATACCACTCAGAAGTGAATACAATCAATCTGTAGTGGAGGGGAGCCCAAAAGAACAAATCAGTCATTAGCTTTGTCAAATGCAGAACACATAAGGAGTAACAGTTGGTTTTGCTTTGGTCCGTTGGTATAAGTATACTGTATATATTCCTAATATTAATGCACTGATATAACCTGAGAACATGCAGGTAAAGGAATGTAATACTTCAGTTAGAAGACTGCTTATCTAAGAAGCAGTTTGATTTGGTGTATTTTCCAACTGTAAATCAAAGAGGTCCAGTTTTTTTATTTAGATGGAGTGAAAAGTGATTTATGTTTTTGGGTTTTTTCCAAAAGGACGATTAAATTGCTGGAGACTGTCCAAATAGTTTCAGTAAATACAGGTGACTTAGTGCATGGGAAGTGATCTTTTCTATGAATTTACCTCTTGTCTATACCTGTGATGCACACAGAAGTATACTGCTGGAATGCTCAAATCAAGCTGCACATCAAGGTGCCATACAAAGTGAACTGCCTGCAGTGTTGCTGTCTGTGTGTACCTAGCGCTGACAGTTATGGTAGCTTTTGTTGCTGGGAAAGACAGTGTAAGCAAAGCATGAGCATGCAGCCTGGGAACCAGAATGAGTCACAGCAACCTTAGCCTTGGTCTTCTCCTCCTTGTTCCTACCCTGTTAATGTAGACAAAGCCTGTGAGTTCCTCCAGAAGCAAGGAGGAACTTGTGTTTCTCTGCTGTAGCACTGTATAACAACAGAGCATATAGACCTATCTAGCCAATTTGTGTGCCAGTCACACTGTAAATCAGTGATAGCAAGAGCCTGAGTTCCCAGGCAAACATCACAGACAATGCTGGAGTCTGTAGCTAGTTTAATCAACAGAAGAATTAGTTTATGCCCAGGCTTTGTATGTATATAAGGGTGTTAGGTTGTAAACAGAGGCCAGTGTATTGACAAAGATTCACTCTTAACTTAGATGCCTATGGTGTACCAGCTATATTTATTAATTTATGTAAATGAATGTCTGAAGTCTGTCATAAAATCTTTTAATGAAATTCTATTGGCTTGACTGTGACTGCATGATGGGTAGTTCAGAAATCTTGCTGACCAGGATGAGCACCAGGTGGATTGGCTAAAGACAGTTATTGAACCAGGGTGCATACAATTTCCCTAATGTATGCACATCTGTTTTTCTTAGTGCTGACAGTACAGTAAAATTATGGGATGTGAGAAGTGCATCTGGATGTCTGATTAGCCTTGATCAGCACAATGGAGAAAAGTCTGAAGCATCTTCTGAGGCAGGTAATGCAGATTTTAACTGGTGGTAATCCATATGTAACTAGAAGCATTTGTATATTTCATGAATGTGTGGGATACTAAGACCAGCAAAGAGAGTAAGTCAGTCTAACTTCTTATGTGCAACTTAAATTGCATGTAGAAAAATACATGTATGCCTCTGTAAAGTCAAACTAATTTTTCAAAACGTACTAAAGTTAGGGGATATGAAGTAGCAGTAGATACCTGCTTTAATAATCGTGGTCTCTGCTATGTAAATTGTGGTGTGGTAATACAGATGTTTGGTTTTGACAGTTTTAATTTTAATTGAAATTAGAGATGAGAATGCTCTAAAAAAATCTTAAGACTTACAAAAAAGTAAAATTATGAACAATTTTCTTTTACGAAAAACAATTCTATGAAACTTCCAAGATAAGCAGTGCCATTTTACACATTCTTTTGAATGACACTGTATTCCTCAAACAACTTTCTTTTCAACTTTTCTCTGACAGGTTCAAGATGATTTTTTGATAATCTTATGGCAAAAAGACTATATTAAATATATCAAAACATAGCTGAACTAAACCAAATGCAGTTAATAATGTATTTGAAAAACAGAACACTTCTTAACTAAGATTTCTAAATTGTATACTGCAGTATAATGCAGAGATACTGTATCCATTTTTCAGTGAGTTAATTTATGAACACCATAATTAGGTTTGCTGTGGTTGTACTGATTTTAACTTTAGCTGCTTTAACATAATTAAGAATGTGCAGTATTGCAGGGTGAACTCCATGGAATTAATTTATAGTACTATATAGATGATACAGAATATTCAGTTGTCAGGGACCTGGAGCAATAGAGTCCAACTGCCTGACCACTTCAAGGCTGAC